TAATATAAAAATAAAATTTATACAGGATTTTTTTTTTAAAAAAGGTGTATCTCTTATAAATAGCATAAGTTAGATCATGGTTTTTTAATATCCATTCTGCCACTCTCTGCCTTTTGATTGGAGCTTTAAGTCCATTTACATCACAGTGGATTCTTCTTATTTTTGAGGTACGTCTGTGACTATTTCACCCTTCCTTCCTTCCTCCTTTCCTTCATTTCTTCTTTCCTTCCTCCCTCCCTCCCTCTTTACCTCTCTTCTTCCCTCCCTCCCTCCTTCCCTCCTTCCCTTCCATTTTGCCATCCAACTTACATTCCCTGAATGCTGCTGTGCTCCAAGTACCATGTTACCTGGGGATGCAGTGCTTCAGTATCTTCTCTAAGATTTCTTTCCTTGCCTTCTTCCTCCTCCAAGCCACACCCTGACCTCCTTCCAGTTCTATCTATCCCTGGTGTGGCCTGGAGAGGCCAGAGAACCATCTTCCCCAGAGTTCAGAGGGAGACCATGAATTCCTCAAACACTTACCAGAAACTTATGTTTGAAATTGCATTCATTCCATTATAATACCCACCATTAAGGTAAATCTCAGCATTAGAATTTTGTAGTCCCTCGAGTGGCTTCTTGGTCCCTATTATCAAGGAATGAGAGTTCCTGGGTGGTGCAAAGAGTTAATGCATTCAGCTATAATCAAAAGATTAGAGGTTTGAGTGCACCCAGAAATACCTTGGACAAAGGCTAGCAATCTATTTCCAAAAAATCAGCCATTGAAAACAACCCCCTATGGATAATTGTTCTAGTCTGAACATAATTCATAGATTATAATTCTACACATAAGGTTGCCATGAGTTGAGCTTGACTTGATGGCAACTGGCCATGCAATGGAACCCTGGGTGGCACAAATGGTCTGTACTCCACTACTAACTTAAAGGTTAGCGATCTGAACCCATCCAACCACACTGTGGAAGAAAGCACTAGCGATCTGCTTCCACAAACATTATAGCAAAGAAAATCCTACAGAGCAATTCTACTTGTAACACATAAGGTCACCATAAGTTGGAATCAACTCCATGGCAACTGGTTTTTGTTATCATGAAATTTAGTTCAAATAAACATATGACACAGAACTGTCCTCTCATTCTGTGGTATTTGAGAAGGGATACAAGAGACTACATGACCTCTATGTGGTACCTGGAACAAGGTGGGATGAAGGAGACACCAGCCTGCATGTCACTGCCAATCACCCACAAAGCCCAACAAGGAGTTTTCACATCATTTAGAAAAGTTAGTGTTTGCTATTCGTCACAATTCACTATAGTTACTTTTTTGCTCATCCATCCAAGGCATCCAACCATTGATTTTTTTTGACAAATAGTTGGTGAGTGAAATGCCTGTGGTCAGTGCTGTGAGGGAGAGAGATGATTTTTTTTTCCCCTGGGAGGAAGTGAGCTATGCTGGGGGATGATGCCATGCCAGTTTAGGGAGCAGGTCGTGGAGAAGACCTGAAAGAGGGCTTGGAGGTCAGAGCTGAGTGTAGAAGATTCGACAGATGATGATTCTAGGACAGATCTTGAGTTTGGGGAGCTCAGTCAGAAGGCAAAGTGCTGCTAGTGCCTTGTCTGTGGGCAGGCACATGGAAATAGCCATGTTTCTAAAATTCTCCAACAAAGGAAACCACTTGTACAACAACAAAACAAACCACACCACCCCTTCACCCCCCATGGCTCTGCAATAAAAAGATTTTCAAAGTCTCAGCCAAAACCCACTAGTTTCAACCACTAGTTCCAGAATTCTGGTTGCTAATCTTTCCATGTTTGTTGCAACAAGATTTGCCAAGTATTTCCCACCAACCTCCTGCTGGTCAGAGGAGCCCCGATTCCCCAAAGCTAGCCCCTCAATATGAGGCTGCAAGAACTGCCATAAGTAGAGAGGGTTTGGAGACTTTGGGGGCAGGGAGGAGGGGACTGCTTTAGAGGCTTTGTGGCTCCAGCCTCTGTATCTCTAGCTGTAGCGATACCTGGTGGCCGGATATGGAATTGCACCTTAGTAGTAGTGGGAGGCCTCTCTCTGTAGCTGCTGGCCTTTCTGCCTTTTATTCTCTGTTGCTATCTCTCTCCTGGTCTGCTTTTTCTCCTCCTTTCTCTCCTGTAGACTCAGCTTTGCAGCTGGAGAGGCTGATCCCGTTTGCCCCTTGGGAAGCACTTAATCAGGCCGGGAGGAATGTTGTCTCAAGTTGCAGGAAATTCATGCTTTAAGGGATGGCCCTTGCCAGCCAAAGCCAGTCTTCTTCACATGTAAGTGGCTGCAGAAACAGCACGCTTTAATAGCGAGCTTCTTTTAACTTAAAATTGCAGGCGGTGGCAACAGCAGTGCACGGGGAAGAAGGGAGTGGGCCTGCTGCAGTTGGGCAGGGTCTGTCTGTGAGGGTTGATGGAGAAGGCAGAAGACAGGTGCTTGGGGTTGAGGGAGTGTGTTCTGTTGGACCCTGGAGCTAAGAGCTTATATATATGGATGAAGGTGTGGTCTGAGGCCTGTTATGTGCCGTGGAGTCGGACCTGACTCATAGCAACCCCTCCTTGGGTTTCTGAGGCAGCATCACTACGGAAGTAGATTGCCCCATCTTCCTTCCGAGGAGTGGCTGGTGAGTTTGAACTGCCAGCTTTCTGGTTAGCAGTCAAGTACCTTAGGCACTACGCTACCAGAGCTCCTCAGCCTAATAAAGAGGGAAAGAGTGTGAAACTCAGAGCCAGATAGGCCAGGGTTTAAATCCTCTTATTAGCTCATCTGACTCTAGGCAAGCTACCCTGTTCCTGTTCCTGTTCCTATTTTCTGATCTAACACAGTTACATGGTGGGGATAGGGACAAAATACATCGTCACAGCACATATTTTTTAAAAAGCTGCCAGTTATTAAGGACTCAAGTCTGTGCTGTGCACGTTCTAACATCTTGTATCATTTCATCCAATCCTTGCAACCACCTTGGAGGAGGTACAGTTATTACCCCTATACCACACACACGGAGTCTCAGGCACACAAAGGCTCAATGGCCTACAAGGCCAGGCTGTCACGAATGGCAGAGCCAGGACTCGAACCCTGTCCATCTAGGTCCGACACACCATGCTAAATCAACTAAACCAAGACACTGCACTGTCCCACCCCTCCAAGGGTTTGTGCTTTATCCACAGTGGCTGTGGTTCTTGTTTGAGGGAATGTGAAATGAGGTCCCTTCTTCCTCTTCCTCCTTCTCCTTGAACTTCTTCTTTCTCCACCTGTAGCTGCCATGTGCTTCTCTGGTTTCCAGGCAGGATCAGGAAAGGAGGAGAAACATGCTGGGGGGCTTGAGGAAGCTGGAGGGCTTTACAGGGCCCACAGTGGTAGCCTCTTACCCCAGAAAAGGGCTCTTCATCAGGCTCGCTGCCCAGAGGACTGGATGGACGACAGCACCCTGGAGAATGTCCATAGGCTCAGACAAGTTTCTGAGCTGGGCTAGTGGACTGGGGGAGTCCAGATCTGACCAGAGCCCACCCTGACCTCAAGTTCCTGACTGCCCAGAGGTAGAGGTGACAGGGACTGGTGCACCCACAGGGTTTATGCACTGGCTGCAGGAGATGTAAGCAGCCTGGTCAGGGAGAAATGGGTCAGGACTCAGGGAGCAGCAGATTGTGCAGGGAGAAAAGTCAGGCTTGTGGACTGGGAACAGAGGGTTTGGAGACAGACAAGACAAGACACTTTGTCCCTGGTGGAGAGTGCCATGAGGGTCAGACCTGTAGGCTGAGGCTGGGAGGGGAGTAAGCCCCCCTCCCCCAAGAGCCTCAGCATCTTGGTATTACAGAGCACTTGAGCTGCTGGTGACTCTGGCCTAACCCTCCAGTCCTGTGGGCACCAGGGACCTCAGACCTGGGCAATACACTGCGGCATTGAAGTGGGCCTCTGCCCGTGCTGCCTGGCCTTGATGGTACACCTTGGGCACAAAGAGCTCTTTCTTATCTGAGCCTCAGGTTCAAGGCTGTGGTTTTGTGTGGACACCTCTGTGATGTGTATTCTCCGTGCCCTTCCTTTGTTCTCCTGGTGTCCATCTGTGCTGCCCCATCTCACGGGCCAGCTGAAGCTCTGTCATATCTGTCTGGGAAGACCTGCCTCTCTATGAGACAGTCAGCATCATTCCTTTCAATGGTGATTTCATCTGTCTTTGGATTGGAGATGGATGGCTGGGTGAGGGACATGATGAAGGACAGAAAGAATGACATCACAGTCACTTCATTTCTCTAGGACAGCAAGCCAATGAATGGCATTAAATATTCTAAAAACCCTCTCTAACTAATGAAATGCCTAGTTGAATGCAGAACTTCTCTGCAAGAATTACCTGGGAGGCTCTAACAACCATATTTGTTCCATATGTAATGAATTCACATAATTAACATGCACACATATACAAATGTGCTTATCACACATATAGCACATGGGATGTGCACAGTTTTTATCTTTTTTTTGCGGGGGGAGTATAATGTGCATGTTGTTTGTATGAAATTACATTAGGTACATTTTAACCTTCACAGCATGGTCAGTCCAAGGTGCCTGTGCTATTAGTGCCACTCCACCGCCCCACCCATCTTTTGTCCCATTGCCTATTGGAAGTATAAAAGGTTCCTCAGCAGTCAAGTAACTTGCCCCTTGAAGGGTCTTTCTGCCCAGCACCTCCTCCCTGGCTTCATCGGTACCGTTGCTTCTCATGGTGGCAGAAGATGTTGTTCCTGAAATCTTTTCACATCTGGGGTTGAGTCACTTCCACCAGGGCAGGAGAATTGGAAAAGGCTCATGAAAACACTGCTGGCTGCAGCAGGTTGTGCACAAATGCTTGTCCCCTGCTGCTTATCATGGCCCTCAGTTACTTCCATGGTGCAGCTGTGTATTGTATACCCCACTGTATGTTTATTGTGTATGTGTGTGTTTGATCTACTGGAACTCTTTGCATTCTCATATCTTCCCCCTTTCCTTCCTTGATCTAGGTTTATTGAAATCCAGAAGCCCAGGCTCTGTAAGGTGCTTCGTGTCCTCGCCTTTGCTTACCCCTACACCTGGGACTCCTTCCCCGTCTTTTACAGGGTAAGGGGCCTGGCTACATTCCCTGAAAACACTAGGGAGATAATTGTTTCCTGAGCTTCTGGGGGTGAAAGCATCATGCTGGGAACCATAGAACACACAGAGGAGTTAGGACACAGGTGCTGCCTTAATGGCACCTGCAGTGTAGTTAGGACATGGTATGGACACAGAGCCCTTACAAACAAAATGGGATGCACCAGCAGCCAGGGCTGACTGGGGATCTAGAGCAATCACTGGGAGTTGAGCAAGAGAAGCAGCCTGATATTCAATAGAGTGACTGTGATAATTATTCACCACAAGTTCTTGGGAAGGTTACCTGCCATCTCTATGCCTTGATTTCCCTTGTCTATAAAATGGGTGTGAGAATAACATTTCCTCTCACTCAGTGTGCGGAGATTTAAATGAGTTAACATGTAAGCTGCTGACTTGTGTTAAGAGTCCAAAAATTCCTTACTATATATTATTACATAACAACAACAACAACAATATATTATTATCAATTAATGTATAATTAGTATTGAAGAAAAAGTGTGATTAAGGGTCTTAAAGAAAAGATAGATGGGAATCAGATGGAGAACATGAAGGAAGAGGGTATAGGAGAGAGAAGAAGAAAAGGGAAAGTCCATGCACTCTCAAAGCATGTGTGCCTGAGTTCAAATCCTAGTCCCACTGCTCTGTGACCTCAAACAGTTTACATAACCTCTCTGAATCCATTTCCTCATCTGAAATGAGGCTAATATACCCTCCCCCCCTCATAGAGAGTAGTTGGGATTAAGCAGAACAATGGATCTGAAGGGCTCAGCAGTGCCTGGCACACAGCCACTGCTCAGTGGACCGAGTTCTCCTCCCCTCCCTGTGGTTCTGCCCCATGAGGCCCAGATTGCCAAGCCAAGGAGTGAAGGGAAGGCAGAGCTATCTCCCCCAGCTACATGGGCCTGTGGGAGACCCAAAGACGGGGATATGTAGCCCATTCCCCTACTTCATCCTCAAAGGCACAGGCCCCACATAGACAACCATAGCAAAAAGAACAAGGCTGGTCCCCTGGCACCCAGTTATACAGCACCACAGACTCCGTGTGCTTCTGAGCACAATGTACTTCTGGCCTTCAGCCGCACTTTACTGGGCCGGGGCAGTGCGGAGGGGAGGACTAATCCTAGATAGAGTTGTGATGGGCACAGGTTCTGGAATCAGACTGTCTATATTCAGATTCAGACTCAACTGCTTATTGAAAAACAAACAAAAACCACCAAACCCACTGCCTTTGAGTCAAGTTCAATTCACACTGACCCCTATGGGGTTTCCAAGGCTGTAAATCCTGATGGAAGTAGATTGCCTCACCTTCCTCCTGTGGAGTAGCTGGTGGGTTCAAATCACCTACCTTTTGGCTAGCAGCCCAATGGCTTAATCACAGAGCCACCAGAGTTCCTTCAGCCACTTATTAAGCCAAAACCAAACTCACTGCCATCGAGTTGATTCTGACTCATAGCGACCCCCATTAGGTTTCCAAAGCTATAAATTGTTACAGATGTAGATTGCCCCATCTTTCTTCCTCAGAATGGCTGGTGGGTTTGAACTGCTGACCTTCTGGTTAGCAGCCAAGTGCCTTATCCATTATGCCACCAAGGCCTATTGTTGTTGTTGTTACATGCCATCGAGTAGGACCCAATTCATAGCGACCCCTCCTTGGGTTTCCAAGGAGGTATCACTATGAAAGTAGATTGCCCCATCTTCCTTCTGAGGAGTGGCTGGTGGGTTTGAGCCACCAGCCTTCTGGTTAGCAGTCAAATGCCTTAGGCACTATGCTGCCAGAGCTCCTACCAAAGCCTATTGTTGTTGTTATGTCCCGTCAAGTTGGCCCCAACTCATAGCGACCCCTCCTTGGGTTTCCGAAGCTGTATCACTACGGAAGTAGATTGCCCAACCTTCCTTCCGAGGAGTGGCTGGTGGGTTTGAACCACCAGCCTTCTATTTAGCAGTCAAGTGCTTTAGGCACTATGCCATCAGAGCTCCCTCAAAGCCTATTAGTGGTTTGCAAATCACTTAGCCACTCTGGGCCAGAATGGGCATTCTTGAATCTGCCTAGGAGGCCTGGGGTGGTACAGTAGTTAAGCGCTCAGCTACCAACTGAAAGGTCAGTGGTTTAAACCCCCCAGCTGCTCTGCAGGAGAAAGATGTGGCAGTCTGTTTCTGTTATGATTACCCATTGCCATTAAGTCAACTTTGACTAGTGGCCCTATAGGGCAGGTAGGACTGCCCTATAGGGTTTCCAAGGCTGTAATCTTTGCAATCTTATTGAGGCTCAAAGGAAATAATGCAAATAAAAGGCAAGGCCTAGTGTCCTCAGTCAGTGGAAGCTACTATCGTTATAATAATATTACAAAAACTATGCTGATGTTAAAACAATATAATGGCTGTGATTAAATGTTTTTGATGTCTCAGAAGGTCTTCAGGGATTTTTAGGCCTTAACGTCTCAATTAGGAGTCCCTGGATGGTGCAAAACGTTAAGTGCTTGTTTACTAACTGAAAGGTTGGCAGTTCAAACCTACTCAGAGGCACCTCAGAAGAAAAGCATGGTGATCTGCTTTCCAAAGTCACAGTCTTGAAACTCTGTGGAGTACAGTTCTACTCCGCACACTTGGGGTTGTCGCGAGTCAGAATTAATGACAAGTAGTTTGGTAAAGTCTTAATTAAGAGCATCAGTCCAGTGGATGTGCTGGTTAAAAGTGAGTTTGAATGCTGAATATATCATTTTTTACTGCATTTACCTTTTACTGCAAGAAAGAAGGGTGGCAATGTATATAATAGGATTTTTCTTCTCCTGTCCTTTCCTCCCTTCTCTGTTCCCCTTCCTTCCCCCCGCCCTTTTTTTTGTAGTAATAATTAAATAATCCAAAAGGCTCTCATGAGCATGGAGGGAACTAAAAGTACAATGACCTGGTCTCGATCTATCACACTCAGAATAGGAATGCTGCTCACACAGCCCCTGAGGATTTTCTTTGCAAGCCACAGACCCTAGGAAGGGAGGGCCTTGGCCCGTGAAGTCCACATATGTATACAATGTGTGTGGATGTAGAGTTCCCCACGGTCTTATCTGCAAGTAATAAGAAGAAACATGGCCTTTCTAAGACATGTCCTCCTCTCAAGCCCTGATGTATCTTTAAATACCTGCAGCTATTCCTGTTCCCAGGAGAGAGTCCACAGAATGAAGCCAGTGTGTACCATCAGAAGCACATAGCCATGACCCTCCTGGCCTCATTCTTCTACTCTGCACACCTACCGGAGCGCCTGGCTCCTGGACTGTTTGACTACATTGGTGAGTGTGCAGTTACCCTGCTGCTCAGGGCCTTTCTGACTGGGGGCAGGCAAAGAGGCAGGGAGAGAGAAGCCAACTCTTCAAGAATGATGCTGTTGAAGGAAACTTTTCTTGTTGGTTACCAGGGGTGGGAGGGGAGGAGAAGGAACACTGAAAAAAAAAAAAAAAATGCTGCTGTCCCAGACACACATTTTACATCTTTCATCAAGTTCTCCAGGCACAGACTAATGTGAAGCAAGATTGTAAATGGGCAGATCCAAGATGCATGTAGTTGATGCACTACCAGGTAGGATGGAGAATGTTGGCAAAGATGTGGGGCCCAGGACCCTCATGGGGTATGAGGCCAGGATTGGTCTCATTATTACCTAGAATGTGAAATCAAATGAACACTGAGGAAACACGAGGTGCAGATGGCACTAAGAGGCAAGGGGCTGTGCAGAAGAGGGCAAACTGTTTTGCCTTGTTCACAGTGGGTGGAAGGGGCCAGAGTTTGTGGTAGGGCTGTGGTTCTCAGTTTGGGGACCCAGACCAGCAGTATCAGCATCCCATGGGAACCTGTGAAGTATGCAGATTCTCAGGCCTCTCACCAGAACTCTTGAAGCAGAAACTCTGGGATGAGGCCCAGCAATCACAGAGTCCATGTGATTTTCCAGGTGAACCTAAGCTCACTGAAGCTTGCGAAGTGATGTTGTCAAGAGAAGGTGTAGGAGCTGCAGGGTTTTCACCTGCTGGCAGAGTTCTTTCCCACCTTATCTAGGGAAGGTGGGGCAGGTTCTGCAGAATGTCTCCCAACCCTGGCTCTGGATGGCTGGGAGGAGGGCACCCTTGGGTCACTTCTAATGATGCTGACAAGTCTTTGGGGTGGGAGTTCCTTAGATAGACTATTATGAGAGTTGAAGGGTCAGTCCTTGTCCCCACCTGGTGGTCAGGAACCTGGACTCTCCCCAAACCCATCTTGTCTATAGTTTTCCATCTCCCTACCTAAGGGCTGTGGCCCGTTTTGCTTTGTTGGATCTGACTAGTGTCATCACTTTCTTTTTCTCTGCTTCCAGAATGAGTTTCAACTAGCTTATAGGGCAGATTTCAGAAAGGGGAGAGGACAAGAGGCCATGAAATTAGAGGAAGGAGGAAGCTGCCCACCAAACTCTCCTCCTCAGCCCGACTTACGTTAAGCAGAGGTAGCCATGGATGAGGTCTTAAGGGGCTGCAGGAAAACTAGTTCTAGGCCTTATTTCAAGTTCTGTGGATCCTTAATAAAATTTCATTTATTCACCTGTAGCCCTTTCTCTTGGGCCTAGAGGTGCAGAAAAACACCCCTATGGGGGGAACTTGCCAGAAGAATCAGACAGAATCAGACAGGCCATTAACAAGAGGTTTTCAGTCCTTCAAAAATACAGTCTGCAGCTGTGGGACTCCCTCTCCAAAGCTAGTTCAGGAGCCTCCGTAGAAAGTGCTAGCACTGGCATGGTTGGCATTGGTCCACGGGAAGCCCCTCCCTATTCCTGTTAGGCAGGATTGCTGAAATCACTCTTCTTGCTGCAGCCACATTTCAGATATACCCAACACGGATGGCCTTTCCCATTCTTTTATCTCCTGGCCTAACGGAGGTTCATTTGAGCCTCCACCAGTGAATGCAGCCAGTCCTTGGAGGCTGTGTCCTTGGAGAACACAGCTCTCTGTTGGCCAAGGAACCACTTTACTGTATCCCACACAGACCTGGAACTCTTATGCAGCCCATTAGTATAGCTTGAGCAAGGGAGGGGTGGGACCTCCAGGCATATCTTCTTCCTGAGGGACACAGACCCAGATGCTAGGGGCTCCCTGCTAAAAGGAACTCACCAGACATCAACTTGAGAATTCTCAACCCTCCTATACGTTTATCCCCAACTCTGCTTCTGCTCCATAGTGGAGGTGGCCAGGCTGGTTCATTCCCGGGACACATTTATTGAGTACTTACTCTGGGATGGGCCCTGGAGGTATAATACTGAACTTTTTTTTTTTTTTTTTTTAACCAAAAGAGAATCTTAATTCCCATGTGTTCGTCTCATCTGACACCTAGTTTCGGAAGATTGTCCCCTAAAGTGGTCCCCTTCCCTGGGTACTGAACTCATTTCCTCACCAACCACCAAATCAGCATATCCCTGTCCATTCCCACCACTCTCCTTTGGGCTCCACACCCTGTAGATTGGCACCGGGTGAGCTGGGGTCCAGCAGGCCATAAGAGAGGAAACCTTCCTCGTCATGTCTGTGGTTAACCAGCAGTAGAGAGAGGTCCAACAGTAGGTAAGTGGCCAGCAGCAAATCAGGCTGCCATCTCCTTTGGCAATGACATTGGGATCTGAGCTAATTATCACTGGCTCTCAGTGATGACCATGGGCAGAACAGGGTGCCTAACTTGTTCATCTGGAAAATGGGACTGTTTTCCATGGTGAATAAGTTGTTTTTAAAATGAAATAGGCTTGCTCTGATGGCCTTTTTATTTTGCTCACATTACATTTTTAAAATAACTTTTTTGAGGCATGTTTTACATATCATATAATTTGCCCATTTCACTTATACTATTCAGTGATTTGTTTTTAGTAAATTTACCATGTTGTGCAACTATCACCATAAATCAGTTTTAGAATGATTTTCATCATCCCAGTAAGACCCCTGCTGGTCATATACTGTTAATCCTCATTGCCACCCTCTGCCCAAGGCAATTACTAATCTACTTTCTGTCTCAGGGTTTTACCTATTCTGGACATTCCAGAAAAAAAAAAAAAAAGAAGAAACATCCAATATGTGGTCTTTTGTGTCTGGTACTTTTGCCTGGCATAATGTTTTTAGCACACATACTGTAACATGTATCAGTACTTCATTCCTTTTTATGGCTGATCTGGTGGCCTTTTGTGTGTTTGCTGTAGGTCACAGTCACCAGCTGTTTCATGTGTGTGTGATCCTGGCCACGCACATGCAGATGGAAGCCATAATCCTGGACAAGACCCTGAGGAAGGAATGGCTCCTGGCCTTCTCCAGGCCCCTTTCTCTCCTCCAGATCACTGGAGCCATACTTCTTTGTATCATCTTTAGCCTCAGCAACATACTTTATTTCTCAGCTGCTCTGTATCGGATTCCTGAGCCAGAATTACATAAAAAAGAAACATGATTCAGACCTTTCAGGCCAGATGCCATCATTAAACTGCAACATCCTAAGCATAGTACTTCGTTGGCCTAAAATATTCACAGTGATTGTTATCTTGGCTCTTTTGAGTGGATTCATGTCAAAGAGGTATTTAACTGGGGAAATTTTTTCTAAATATGCACTGAATCTGTGTGTCACTTTCAAAGGGTAATATGAGTTTGAACAAGTTCTTAAGGCAAATCATTAATATTTCATTACATTTTAAATTCACTTAAGTATTTTTCAATTCTATTTAAATACAGTTGAGTGAAGCACACAACCCTGTGTTTTTATTACTCTGAAAATGGAAAATGCTCCATTTGGTGAAGTTCACATTTCTTCCAAGAGCTTCAGTAGTGGCCTGCCAGCTATTTTGGGAGGAGGATGAGCAGGTGAGGTCACTGAGAGGGACCTGAGAGAAAGGACATTGTTTGTGGGAATTCTGGGGACTGGGGTTCTGAGCTGGGAGACATTCTAGAATGAAGAGACCTGGTTTAGGGAAGGGTTTTCTTCCCTTCCTCACTTTAGTGAAATGAATAAATAGGAGAGGCTCCTCCCTACTCTTTCTCCCTCACAAGTCCATTTTGTCCTTAAAGTAGAAGTTGCCATATTATTATGGATTTCGAGTTTGGAAGTTTTGTCTTAAAAGTCCACAGCCAATAGCTGAGTGTCATATGTTGTGTCATACTGTTTTCTTGTTGCCAGTTTGATGCCACAAAATATTATGCAGTGCAAGTAAAATGTGTTAACTGTGGGAGTTGGCCGAGTTAATATTAATTGGTTGTGCTCATCTGCCACCTTTTAAACTAATGTCATGCATTGAGGGTATCAAACATTTGATATTGCTTCAGCATTTCAAATATGCCACCAGATTTCATATTCACGTACAGAGAAGCTAAAGACCTTGCCAGAGAGATGGTCAAACATAGTGATTCTTAAGCTTTACTGTGCAGATTCCTGGGCCAAATCAGGAGGTTCTGCTTCAATAGGTTGAAATGTACTTTCTCAAAGAAATCTACACTGGACCACATCCCCCAAGTGGTTTTAATGTTAGGAAGGCCAATGGCCAGACTTGATGAAATACTGTGCCTTGCAAAAGTCACTGGGCCTGTCAGCTTTGTTTTGATTCATGTAAGTTTCAGCAACTCAATAAGCTCTTGGGTGTTTCAATGGGTACCCTCCACTTTATGTTCAGAAGCTTTCTTCTGTGCATAGTACTAGAACACTGAGCATTTTCTCATCTGTTGCATTACCAATTAAAGTTCAGTATTTCACAGTGTTTTCAGGAAGTCCAGAAATGCTGAGGCAAATTATTTCTAACAGAGGCCAATCACCCCCTGATTGGCCTTGCCTGATCTGCACTTGCTAGTGACTTAAGGGACCCTCCATTACAATGCAAGATCACTGTGCTGACTCAGGAACACCCCCATATCTTGGAATACTGCTTCTACAATTAACCAGCGCAGACGCTGGAATGGCCTTGTAAATAGCTCATCGTCCAATTCTCCAAGGACAAGTTACAATTTATATTAGATGAGAGTGGTCAAGAAATATGAGTTCATTAGTTTTATTATCTGCTTACTTCCTCTGGGAAAAGCAGAGAGATCAAATAAAACTATATGGGCTGGTAAATTTTGGGTACATTAATTGCAAGCTGTAGTAAAAAATTGTATCTTTGGCAACAGTCTGACACTATTAGTGGAATTCTGCACCAGCACAGTCTGTGGGCTTCCACTTCATCTTACTGTAATTTTAGTTTTATGGTGAAAAATGTAGCAAGTTTAAATACCGTTTTCTACAATGCCAAAGACAAGATGACTGTTAACTTCTCCTGCTTATAGATAGTAAAATAATGTTCTCAGTTTAGCTCAGAAATAGTTGAAAGATAAAGAATGATTAATTTGAAGGACATTTAGATTATTGAATCTTTGGTCATGTTGCTTTTTCATCTTGCTTAATGACAAAAATAAAATGTTAAATCAACAGAATAAGATGATCAAGCATTTCATCATGTTTGTAGGTTGCTGGTAAACTTTAGGCCTGTGATACACTTTTGGAGAAAGTTACAAGTTAAAATATTAAAACAGTTTGCAGGACACTGACTTGGAAGCATTTAATGTGAAATGATAATGTTGTTGTTGTTGTTATGTGCCGTCGAGTCGGACCCGACTCACAGCGACCCCTCCTTGGGTTTCCGAGGCAGTATCACTACGGAAGTAGATTGCCCCATCTTCCTTCCGAGGAGTGGCTTGTGGATTTGAACCACCAGCCTTCTGGTTAGCAGTCAAGTGCCTTCGCCACTATGCTACCAGAGCTCCCTGAGATGATAATACTTTCAAATACATTAAGTGTTAATAGACATCAGATGTCTAATATGTAAGACATCAGATGTCTAATATGTAATATTTTGTCCATGTCAAAAAGGTGGGCAGTGGGTCATTTGAAGACCTCACTGGGAAGGTGTCTTGTCATGTAGTGGTTCTCAATTTTTCTTCTTCTTCTTTTTTTAATGTCTCAATACACCAAGAGGGAATGTGACATACCACCATTGGTAACAATTGCTCCCCATGGTGGTGTCTCAACAGGGATTATTGAGGGGAGGCACACTCCTAATGGGATGCACTATCTCCTCTTCCTCCTGCTTGAGACAAGCTGTCCTAAAACTTCACCAGACATTACAATTGTGATAAAACTTGAGTGTGTTTGAGTGAGGCCATTCTGGTCAACTTGGTCTCCTTTCACTTCTTCGGAGGGTTCCATTTCCCAGTGCTGTTTACAGAAAAGAAATCTCCATTTTCTTTCTAAAGAAATGAATTTGTTATTATTGAAGCCTTCACACTTTTTTTTTCTTTTTAAGTTGGAGGTCTTTTGAGTATAAAGTAATTTAACTATTTGGTCTACTGCAGTGTTTCTCAAAGGTTTTGTTTATGTGTGTGTGTATGTGATCATTTCTGGGAGAGGTTCTGGGGAAGGTAGAACACAGTAGAATGTTATCTGTCTGATGTTAGGGAAACTCTTCAGTTGGATCTACTGAATCTTAAACTTTTTTTTAGCTATGGTATCCTTTTTACTATTAAACACCTATTAACACTAGATAACAACACTTTATATTAATTGAATGTTAGTTTCTGATTTTCTAGTCAACGATCTATATGGATGGAATGGCAAAGACCCATTTCCAAACTCAGTGATGTCCTTTAGTTTTATGGTGAAAAAGGTGCCAACTTGAAATACCCTTTCCACAGTGCAAAAGACATAATGGTGGTTAAATTCTCTTGCTTATAGAATAAAATAATGTTCTCAGTGTACTCAGAAATAATTGAAAGATAATGAATGGATGATTACACTAATGTCTGATTTTCTTGGATTGTGTGAGCAAAAAAATAAAATTTATTTATTATACTAATGCTATCCTGTTGCCCACTTGATTTGGTTATGTTTCACCCACCACACTGCAAACATATTTATTCACCATGAGACATGGATTCCTGTACAAATGTGTGTCATTAAGTCAGTCAATGAACATTTATTCAGTGCCTGATATGTGTAGCCAGGACCGCTGGTGGTGCAGTGCCTAAGGCATTTGACTGCTAACCAGAAGGCTGGAGGTTTAAACCACCAGCCACTCCTCAGAAGGAAGACCAGGCAATCTACTTCCATAGAGATGCCGCGTCAGAAACCAAAGAAGGGTCGCTATGAGTCAGAATCAACTCAACGGCAATGAATGAGATGTGTGGGCCAGGGAGCCCTGGTGCCACTGTGGGTAAGTGCTCTGCTGCTAACACAAAGGTCAGCAGTTTCAACCCGCCAGTTGCTCTATGGGAGAAAGATGAAGCAGTCTGCTTCTGTAAAGATCACAGCCTTAGAAACCCTATGAAGCAGTTCTACCCTGTACAATAGGGTTGCTATGAGTCAGAATAAACTCAATGGCTGTGGTAGTTAAGGTTGTGTGCACACTTGGCTGGGTCTGGTTGAGTGGCTGGGCAGCTGGCTGTAGTTACTCCCCACGCTGAGACTGGCAATTAACTCCATGATGGAATCTACTGGAGAAGCTGAGTAGCTTCTTTAGGTATCTGGGCTGTTTCCAGTATATAAGAAGCAGCTTTGAGGAAGGTCTCCAGCTTTTTGGCACTCTTGGACCCTGCATGTAGCTGAGTTGTCATTCAGCAGCCTGACATGCTCTGGCCATCTTTTGGGACTTTTAATGGACTTGAATTAATGGCCTGCCATGTGGTTTGGTAATATTGGGACTGTGCCTTTTTTACTTGTTGACCCTGGGTTTGTCAGCCTCAGCAGCCAGCAGCTGCCTGAGTGAAGAAAGCCTCCAGCTTCTGTGAGCTGAGAGCAGGAGGCAGAGCTGAAGACCAAAATCAAGGGGCTTTCACTCAGCCCCTAGAGCCTGGCACTTTGAACTCAGACTTCTAGCCTCCAAAACTGTAAGAGAATAAACTCCTGTTTGTTGAAGCCATCCTGTTTGTTGTATATTCCTGTCAGAGCAGCACACAACAACAAGTTTCTTTAGTCTCTTTTATGGATTGAGTTATGGCCCCCCAAATATATACCATTTGGAATAGGGATTTGTTTGTCATATTAACAAAACCATATCAGTGTAGGCTGTGTCTTAAAACCAACCACCTTTCAGATATAAAAAGGGCAAATTAGGCACAGCGAAGCAAGCACAAATGGAAAGGAGGATACAAGTCACTTAAAAGATCACCAAGGCACCAAGGTTCAGAAGCTAAAAAGAGACAAGGATTTCCCCCAGAGTTGACTGGGAGAGAAAGCCTTTTGCTACAGCAGGTGCCTGAACTTGGACTTCTAAACTCTTAAACTGTGAGCAAATAAATTTCTGTGAATTAAAGCCACCCACTTATAGTATTTCTGTTACAGTAGCACTAAGAAACTAAGACAGTGTCCTGTGACCTGCAACAGTTTGGGGATCTTTGTATTTTGGGACATTGACAGTTTGAAGAGTACAGGTCAAT